CGAGTCAAGAAAACTCACCGGCAAATCCCTAAAAAGTGGTATATAAACTCTAAATCTGGCCTATTTGATCTTCGTATATAAACTAGTATTTTCTTATCTTGACTCTAATCATACTAATCATAGTAAAGCAAATCAACAGCTTGTCAGGAAGAATCCGCTGTCGTCATAGTCACTTCTCTGTACATTTAGCTCCTGAAGACCAAAACAAAAAGGCTCATCAACATAAACAGATGTGTCCGACCTTGCGCAATCTGAGTGATGGTTATGACATGTATGTAGAAAGGAGGAGATAGTGGTCATCAGAGAGAACAGTGGCAGAGAACAGACGTTACTTTTGCTGTCCTAATTACTTTGAGTCATCACTGCTGGTTTCGTGCATAAACGAACACACGCAGGCACATACACATACAAAGACAGGCACACTCACAGGCATCAAGGTTGACATATGACCTTAGCTGACCAAATCACTTTATACCTGATCAAAGAGGCCAGATATAGAGTATATATATCGCTTATAGGGATTTGCCGGTCAGTTTTCTAGACTCGTTAGCTAGAATTTGGTTGTGACGATGAGACCTTGCTCTGATGATGCTCGTCATATGACGGACGAAAGCTTAGCATCTTTTAACTGGAATCGAAGGAGATTACCTCGGAAACAGCGTCAACATGCATGTTCCAGTAAAGCCAATCGACAGCTGGTCAAGAGGAATCGGTCTTGTGGTGGAATCGTCCTTCGAGTCTCTTCATCAAACACTTTCACTCAAAATGGAAGTGAGCTCAACAGTTGTGAAGTGCTATCATATGTTGTCCTCAGGCTATACGGTACTATAAACATAGATTCTGTTTTAAATATGGTTGAAAACGCATGCACTCTAGGTTCGCCTATTTAATCTCATAATTGTTGAGCTTACTTCCATTTAGAGTGAAAGTGTCTGGTAAAGATATTCGAATGTCGATACCATCAGGAGAAAACAGTGGATTCCTCTTGACCAGCTGTCGATTGGCTTTACTGGAACCTTCTTGTTGACGCCGTTTCCGAGACAATCTCCCTCGATTTCGGTGAAAACATGTCACGCTTTCGTTCTTCGTAAGACGGGCCTCACCAGAGAAGGATATCATTCTTACAACCATATTCAAGCTGACTAGTTAAGAAAGCTCACCGTCTCTATAGATACTTTATATCTACAGTGGTTTGATTAGGGCAAGTCGTATGCCAACCTCGAAGCATTTGAGTGTGTCTGTCTACGTGTGCTTATGTTCCTTCTTGCACGAAACCAGCAGTGATGGCTTAAAGTGATTAAAACAGAAAAGTAACGTCTCTTCTCAGATCTCAATGTATGATGACCATTCATACCACATTTTCTTTATTTTAGCCAATACTCCAATTGCATAATGTTGGACACACATCCGATTAAGTTAATGAGCCTTTCCTCTTCGTGTCAAGAAGGAAATTGGACTAAAATCAGTGCAGAATACTTGTCGAATCGCTTCTTTTATTCAGAGGGCTAAGTACTCTTTTTTCCTTGAGTCTATCAATCAAGTATACATAGTTCTTATTTACTTTCTTAGCGGTATTCCTGAGCTTAAATGTATTGCTTTATCGGGTGGTTTTATTAACTTTAATTTTGCGCTTAGTTGTAGAAATACCATAGTCGGCAAAACGACAAATGTGAAACCATTCAATCGCATGTCCAATTTTTGCGTTTTGCTCTGCAAACTTTGATTTTTAAAGCCAACCGCCTCTACAACCACTCCTTTTCGAATTAGAAGATAAGTCTCGCCAACATAAGTGACGACATCAACACATAATTCTATAGTAACCTTATCTAGATAATGGGTCAAATTTCTCTCTAAAAGTGAGTATAGCCAAAGAAAGTGTAATGTTTTTTCGAAATCCGTTTGTATGCTCCACTTCCTCATTCGGTTAACTGGCTTTTTTGAGAGGATGCACCTAGGCAAAGACAAGATATGGGAAAAGGTCTCCGTCTATTTTTCTCTCTTTATATATTTACTAATTAAAACAGTATTTTTTATTCAGCTAAAGTTATTTTCAACCAAGCCTATGGGATAATTGTTCTCAAGTAATATTAGTCTAAGCCGATCCATTTCGTTATCGCAATCGTCTCTATCGGCTAATATTATGCTCCATATAATCATAGATTCAAAAATACCAAACCTTGTTATGTAACTATGGTTGGAAAAACAATTAAGGATAAAGTCAGTGGGTATTGGATTCCTATATACCATAACTGCACAACTTCTGTCCTGCTTTGAACACTAAAACATCACAAAATGATAATTAATTATCCTGCTCTACCTAGATTGTGAACTTTTAAATACAACCCTCTTGTTTAACCTTATTTTCGCAACTTGGTCGTCTTGCTGGAGCGACCCAGAAGAGTGTATCCTCTCCGAAGTCCTCCGCCAGAGTATGTATGTTAATTTCCGACGGCAGAATGTGCCAAATCCGTAATCCGATGTTGGTAATCATAATAGAACTTTCGTCTATGTCTCTCAGACAATGCAACCAAGATGCGAATACGAGGTCAAACCACTTCTCACAAATTCTTGCCCACCAAAAGGTGTACTTAACCAGGATTCACTGTGGGCTCGACTTTGCTTCGCTACCTTCAGAATTTACAACGGGGCTTAAGACTTGATCGCCTGTGTGAAATTCACTGACACATCGAATCATTATAATGAGTGTATTTTGGAAGAATCAACTGTCAGTATTTGCATTGCCTCAAGCAACATAGGCTGGCTCAACTTCTAGCTCAGAATATATTGATGGTGTGCAAAGCTATTAATTAGGGCGTAACGACCTTTTTTTTACCAGAGCTAGGGTTGAAAGGTCGAGGAAACAGGGCATACAGGGCCTCTTTAAGACTGCTCCGCGAGGACAAGTCCGGGGTATACACTCACTCTGGCTCAATTCCTTGCGATAGCGGTCACCCAGCTTGATCAGACGGCGCATTGAATCCTGCCACTGCGAGGCCTCGCTCTTCACGCGCCTCAGAATCTCCCCCGGCAACTGGCCCGGCTCTGTGCCGCCTGAACCCCCGGAGCCCGTGACTCCGGCAACCGTGCCGCTGGTGTGGCCTTCAGGCGGACCCGTACTCGGTCGTTTAGGCTCATCTAATCGTGGCGGCAACAAGGACTCGAGGCCAGCCACGGGCGTCTTGATGCCGGCGTCTGATCGGGCGAATGACGTTGACGTGAGGCTAGGGCTCGTGGATCCAGGACCGCCAGCTGAAGCCCCGAGAGCCGGCAGATTCTGGTCCATTGTGATGAGTTCAAGAGCGACTGACGAAGCGTCCAGCCAGTTAAGAAGCTCTTCAGCCTTGGCCTCGAATTCGGCGCGATACTCGGCGGTCGACTGGGTCCCCTCGTCTGCAGGGCGTCGTAACGCCAGAAGGGCGGGAAACCGGAAAAATATTGCAAATAAAGCGCGGTCAGGGGAGGCGAATCGTTTTGTGGCAGCAGATTCAATGAATCTGGCCAAAGAGTACAAAAATGTAACCTATCTCAGTACAAATCTATGGCGGAAGTATATCGACAAGGTAATTTAACTCGACGTTAATACTGCACTAAAGTGGTGTTTTAAGGTAGAAACTGCCTGAAAGGACGGAGGAGAACGGAATTTGTGGCCGAGGAGTGAACAAGAGATGATCGACAAAGTCAAGTCTTCCCCTCTTTTAGGTGTGGTCATAAAAAATGCCAACTCTAATAACATGAAAGACGGTACTATCTTTCATCCATCCTGCTGGCTGGAGGGATCAAAACTTGCCAATCCAACGGCATTGATAGGCCCAAAGTTAATTATCGTTCGTTTGTAAGTAGGCTTTCAAGGCTAACAGGAAATCAGGTATATGAGATGTGTCCACTATAGTTCGTTCAAGGCAGTAGTTCCCAAACTTTTCCTAGTCGCGGCGCCCTTTTTCAATTAAAATTTTTCCATGGCGCCCAACCCTAAGTATGACTATTCGTAAGTAAGAGATAAAAATAAATAAAACTTGTGTAAATTCATTATTTTTTTACTTTATTAACATTAAATTAATATTAAATAATTAATGAGATGGATGAGCCCGCGAATCACTGCACGTTTTCTCAAATTGGAGCTTTTACAATATTTCCCGGCGCCTCTGTAGAGGCTGCGTCACGCAGTTTGGGAATCACTGATTTAAGGTAATGAAGGACTGGTAGTTGGAGAGGAGGAGGAGCAAGTATCTGTCGATATGTGCCT